GAATGAACAGTGACGTTAAACATTTTTGCATCTATTTATTGCCCTTTGTATTTCTTCATCTGAGAAGTGTGTATCCATCTCAGAGGCCCATTTTTGGATTGGGTGTTTAATCTTGGGGAGACCTTTTTTTCAATATTTCATATGTTCTAGATATTAGTCACTTGTCTGAGAAACAGCTGGCAAAAGTTTTCTCCCACTCTGCGGGTCGTCTCTCCACTCAGTGGTTTCGTTTTAATAAGCTGAGATCCCAGCTGCTTGTTCTGTCTTTGTACACCTGGCCAGTTACTGCACCTGCCTGAAATGCCCTTGTCTTTTTTGTAAGCACTTGAGATATCTAACTTCCCGGAACTGATCCGCACCCTTGTGAAGCCTTCATTGAACGGAACCAACTTGATAGCTGGGTGAGAACTGCAGCTCTCAGGAAACACCCAGTATTTAGGTCTACCTCTTCTCTGGGATTAACCCCATCCTGCACAGCTCTCCTATGAGTTATACACCTGGGCTTCTTACAGTCTTGTTGGTATCACCCAAATTCCTCTCTAAGCTGTTCCTAACTGGTCTCTTCCACTTGGTAGATGCTCAACAAATTAGGTTTGATATACTACTGAATGAGCATCAGTGTTAGGACATGCTGGAACTTCACTCGCACACAATAAAAAAAAGTCATGCGGCACCAGGCCAATTATCTGAAGAATTTCAAAATCCCTTGTAAAACTACAACACAGCATTATATATGTATATATATTTTTAAAGTTCTGGAAAAAAAGTCCTTAACCCACCATTTGTCATAAATCAGGTCCATTAGGCATGGTGGCACACACCTGTAATCCCAGCACTTGGGATCGCTGCGAGTTCAAGGCCAGCCTATGCTGCAGTGAATTCGAGGCCAGCCAGAGCTACAAAGTGAGACTGTCTCAAAAACACAACAAGCAAACAACAACAAGAAAAAAAAGTCAGGGGCCAGAGATTTAGCTCAGTGGCACAGCGTCTGCCTGGCAAGTATGAGGTGCTGAGTTTGATTCCTGCTACACACTTCCCGCCCCCCAAAAAAGTCAAGTGAGCTTAGGAAGAACAAATTATCTAAAGGAACGGTGAAAACCACAGTGGTACCAGTGTTAAAATGCTAGGCTAAATGTTTAACACATACAGTCCTATCCACTTTTCTTTTCTGTTTTGGTTTTTCTCCGGTACCGGGAACCGAACTCACGACCTTGCGCTTGCCAGGCAGGCGCTTTTGCCGCTGAGCTAAATCCACAGCCCCTATTCCTATCCACTCTTACGACCCCATGAGGCAAAGATAGATATTCCATATTTGAACCTTACAAGAATCGAGGCCAGGAGGAACTCAAGTTTTCCCAGTTTGCTCAGGTTAGGCTCGCTCACTTGCTTGCTTGCTTTTTTTCTCTCTCTCTCTCACTTCTCCTCCCTCCCATCCTTCCTCCCTCCTTTCCTTCTTTTCTTCTCTCCCTCGTCCCTTCTTTCTTTTGACACAGGGTCTTGTTATGCAGTTCAGGATGGCCTTGAACTCACTGTGTAGCCCAGGCTGGCCTCCAACTTGCAGAGATCTTCCTGCCTCAGCTTCCCAAGGGCTGGGATTACAGGTGTGCTCCACTACACCTGGCTCTACTGCTAATTTAAAACCCATTTCTCAAACTGTACCAACCAGGGAACAATTTGAGGGAGCTGTTCAAGAGAGCTCTGTTCTTAGACCAGAGCTGACCCCTAGGTGGCAGGAGCAGACCGTGTTTAATGATGCAAGTGGCAAGGCAGTTTGCTCAACAGCATGAGGGCAACACACAATTTAGTTAAAGCCGCTGACAGTTTTCTGAAGAGGACATCATTTTAGGGTGGTATAATACAAGTAAATGACTACAAATAAAAATTATCCCTCCCATTAAAAGTGTCTTATTTATTTTAAATAATACTACAGTACATATAGATTTTAATCTTTTCATTCTACCAAAAAAAAGCTTAAATTTAAACTTGTAAGTATAACCATACTGGCAATGGACTAAATAACAAATAAGACAATGTATGCTAAAATATGGTGAAAACTAAAGTTTAATTTTGTGTACTGTTGTATGAAATAAAAACTGCCTTTAAACTCGCGAAGGTTAGCGAAGATTAAAATTCTTGTGTTTTGCAAGGTGTTTTGTTTCATTTGTTTGTATTTGGTTTTTTAAGGTCAAAACAAAGTGAAGGTTTCAGATTACATCTTCAAAACACTTCTCTGTGAGTAATATTAAAGATTCCCAATATATAAAATGCAAGCTGGTTAAACTGGGTGTGGTGGCACATGCCTGTAACCCCAGCACCCCAGAGGTTGAGGCAGGAGGACTGCTATGAGTTCAAGGCCAGCCTCAACTACATAGCAAGACCCTGTCTCAAACAAACAAACAAACAAATGTAAGCTGGGTAAAACCATCATCCCCCAACACTAAGGGTCCCACCCAGGGCCTCACAATACTAGGTAAGTGCTCTATCCCTAAGCTCTCTCCCCATCCTCTACTTCTTTCTATTTCTGATATTTACATTAAAAATGCAAAAGCAAGCTTGATATAATGATAAGAATATTGAGAAAATTAATGCAATTTAAAAATGTGATGAACATACTGTGGCAAATCTGTAGAATTATTAACACATGTAAAGCTTTAATAAACTGAATTTTAATACTAGTGTTGCTTCTGCTTTCTATCCTTGCTAAACCCTTGCAAGAAGAAATTAAATAACTAATAGTAGTAAATATACACATAAAATTAGACACAGAATGGCCAATGTCCTACTGGTAAATAAAGTTAGACACTATCTTTTGCATATAATCACTTAACATGCACTCAGGAATAAAACATTTAAAAAATTTTTAAAACGTATTTTACTAACATACAACCCCATCTTTTACATAAAGAAACCTAGAGACTTAAACTTGGTCCCAGGGTAGTGGTATTAGGAGATACTATGGACCTTCAGTATTTATTTATTCGTTGAGACAGGATATTGCTATGTAGTCTAGGTTGTGCTGGAACTGACTATGCAGCTCATGCTGGCCTTGAACTCACCAATATCCTCCTGCATCAGCCTCTCAAGTGCTGGGATTGCAGGTGTGTGCCATCACACTTGGCTACTATGGACCTTTAAGAAGTGGGACCTATAGGAGTCTAGGCTCTCTTCTGGGACCCGCTCATCCTGTGCTTCCTGGCTGGAAAAGTGAATACCCAGTCTGACATCTGCTTCTGCCATACCGTGCCACCCCTGCCAGACGCCCTCACTGATGGGGCGCCCAGCCTTGGACTTGGGCCTCCAGAACCATGAGCCAAAGTAAACCTCTCTCTACATCACAATGCCCTGGGTCAGGTATTTTGCTACAAGGATGCAAAGCCGACAAATACACCCAGGACTCAGTGAAGGTTTTGGCCAATGAAAAAACCACAGCCTGCAGAACTGGAACTCCTTCTCAAGGTGAGTAGCTAGTTCTGTCTGACAACTGAGACACAGGAGTTTTTTCAAAAATTCCAAATGAGTGAGTGGTATTTGAGAATTCCAAAAGACAGATTAGCCCTCAGACCTCTGTATCAGGGATCCCAAACACCAGCAATCCTTTAAGCTGATTTGATCTCCTGAAAAGTACTCTGCGAAAACTCTACTTCCTCGGTCTTTCTGGAAAGTTCTACTGCCTACACATCTCTGGATAGCAAAGGTCAAACAGTCCACAGGCCGTGCTGGCTTCTGAGGTTGCACACCGAACAGTGCGATTGCTCGTCTGCAGGTGTTAGTAAGACTGAAGTCTCTCAGGCAGCTGGTGGGAAGGGGATTATTTTCCGTGGCAAGCACCAATTCACAGTCGTAAAGCACTATGTGAAGAGTAACTTGCAAATACATATACATGCATACATTTCCCCATTTTTCACTCACGGAAGGTGAACACATTTATAACAATAAAATATAATACAATGTATTACTGAGTACATTTATAAAGTGGAAATTCTACAGTAACCCAAAGCTGTCTGGATGCTTGACGGAATGTGAGCAGAACTTTGCTCTTCTAGCTCTGGCAGTTATTAGCCAATTCAATTCATGAGGTGCTTTAGAGATTAACTCTAAAAATAAATACAGTAACTAGCATAAAATCTCCAAAATACGTGTATTTTATTCATGGTTGAACATTTCTAATTCACTTCTAGGAACTAAAACATACTTAGGACCTGCAGTGGTTTCTTAACACAGTTTCATTTACAGGGGCTCTACTGGAAAGGATATGGGAACAATTTAAAATATGAAGAAGATACGGGTACTGAAAACTACGAAAATGTGAGCGCCTCTGATACCCGCAGAGGATCCCCGCCCCTAGACCCTAGCACATCGAAGACGCCCGATATCTTTTCTGATGCTGTGCTGACGCCATCAAGGGACTTCGGAGACTAACAACTCCTTTCGAGGGACAGGAATGACTTGGTGAACAGCACCTGGAGAACCCGCCTCGTAAGTGAGACCGGCCGGGGTCGCCCGGACAGCGGCGGCTGAAGGACGAAGGCGGCACTGGGCCGGCGCCCCGCCATCGCCGAGGCCTTCGGTCACAGGGACCCCGCCGGGCCTTACCTTCTCCTGCTCGTGCTCGGGGCTCCGCCGGGGGAGGCCGCCGCCCTCGTCCTCACGC